TGCCCCTGCCCTGGAGAGAAAAGGATGACTTCCTTAGTTTCTACTTTGGGACTGCAGCTCCAGCCCCTACTCTCTAGTGGAGACTATTCTTTCAACAAACACCCATGAGAACCTGCTATGAACCTGACCTTAGGACAGGCAACAGACACAGAAGGGGAAAGTGTGGTCAATGCCCTGGAAGGGTTTCCCGTCTAGAGGGGGATACAGGCCTGCAAACAGGGCTTTGTAATGCGGGTGAGTGCTTTTACAGGGGATGCACAGGCAAGGGGCATTGATCTCCCCGAGGTAGAGGGCCTGTTCCCACCAAAGGAGGGAGGCAGATGAGGGAAGACTTTCCGGAGGAGGTGACGCCTGAGATAAGACCCGAAAGACACGTAGAAAGAAGCCAGTGAATAAAGTGGGAAGGATGGTCCGAGCAGACGTCACCACAAGAGCAGACGCTGAGGTCGGAGAGTGTGGAGAGCGTGTTGGAAGTAAACCAATTCCACATCACAAGTACAGAGTCCAAGGGAGAAGCGATGAGGCCGGATCCTGCAGGGGTTTGTAAACCACGTCAAGGGCTTGGAGTTTAAAACTGACGAGTTTTAAGCAAAGAAGTCAGGAGCTGGATTTGTGTCTTAGAAAAATCGCTCCGGCTGCAGCATCCAAGATGGATCAACGAGAGTGCAGTTCTATCTTCTCCCCTCGGCAGAGATGGAGCGCCCCGGGCTGAGGGTGACAGTGGGGACATGAGAACATGGTTGGCTGTCATTTATGGAGCACTTAGCATGTGCTGGGCTCTGTGTTAACCCCTTCACAGGGATCAGCTTTTCAACCCTTTAGCAACCCTGTCAGGTAATGACTAGTATCAACCCCATTGACAGAAGTGGAAACTGAGGCACAGGCAGGTTAAGCAGATTGGCCAAGACCGTACATTTGGGAGGCAGGAAAGCAGAACTCCAGTCCAGACAGGCTGGCCCCAGTGTGCCCGGAGTAATGAAGAGTGGGAGGAATATTTGAAGGGTCACGTTGGGAGAGCAGGTCTGATTGGGCAGCAGGGCCGGGACAGGTAAGGGAGGAGCGGGATGCTCAGGTCTCCCTGCAGGACCGGCTGCATAACTCGAGGGGCCCAGTGTGGAATGAAAGCCCTGGACTCTTTGTTCAGAATTTATTAAGACTCTCAGGACGGTGACAGCAGAGCATTAAACCAAGCATGAGACCCTTCCCAGCGCGGGGCCCTGGGCGACTGCAGAGGTGGCAACTCTGCTCCCAGGCTTCTGTCCCTGGTGCCTGGTCAAGGCTGGGCGATGCCAGTGATGGAAGAATCCAGGAGAAGCTCGTTCGGGGCAGAGTCAGGAGGGTAGGAAATGGGGAGCTCTGTTTGAGACCTTGGGGGTCGTGTCCAGAAGGCGGGTGGTCCTGGGTCTGGTGCTCAGAAGTGAGGTCGGGGCCACGAGTCCACACACAGAGCCGTTCCGGGTCCAGAGTTCAGTGTTGCCTTTGGTTACCGGCACGTGGGCTCCCTGAGCTCACCGGCTGACCCCAGGTGGCGCCTTCCCGGTTCCCTCTCTGGGTCCTGCCATGAGCTCCTCTCACCTGCTGCCACTGCTGCTTCTCGTGGGAATGGCTGGTTCCCATTTCCCCTGAGGGCCAAGAGGTCACTTTGCAAACCCTCAGCCTCTGCGCTAGACTTATGCCCAAGCCACCTTGGACACTGGCTTTGGGACCTGGGTTAAAGGTCCTCAGCAGCCTGGCAGTTTGTAAACTCTCCTGAGAGCTGGCCTCTGCGAAATCTCGGGGGGACATGGATCAAGTCTGTTCGCGCCCTCCCACGGGAAGGCGTGGGACACTGCGGAAGACGAAGAGGACACTGCGGCTTGGAGTGGTCAGCCATCTGCCCAAGGCCGCCCAGTGTCTGTGTCCACCTGGGTGTGCCCTGTTAGTGCAGCCCCACAGCGGCTCCGCATCAGCCCAAAGGGGAGAGCCTGGCTCAGGCATTGCACTCACTCACTCACTCATTCATTCATTCATTCAGCAGATCTGGACTGAGAACACGCTGTAGACCAAACACTGGGGACAGACAGAGAGAGGTGAGAATCTGCACAAGGGATGGCCCTCCCAGCCCCTTGAGAAGGGCTGGGATAAAGTGGGGGACTATAAGAGGGAGGTCCTGACTTAACACCTGCACAGGGCCGAGGGCCCGTGTGAGCGTAGATCAGTTCTCCTGCCGTAGCACTTCCCAGAGATGGCTACGGCAACGCACCTCCCATCCCGCGAGACTTCTTGTGACGATGACAATGCTCCATCGAGAGGCGGGGTCTGTGTTCCCTGCCTGGATCCTGGGCAGACCCCGACCAATGGAATGTGGTAGATGTTTCACTGATTGACTTCAAGGCCAGGTCATGGCCTAGGGGATGTCAGGGTGTCCTAGAGGAAGGCGATGTGACTTCCACCTGCTCTCTGGGGATGCGCACATTTGTAGCCCTGAGTTCATGTAGGAAGCCCGGCTGCCTGAAGTCCCCAAGCTGGAGACACCATCTGAAGACACCATGGAGGGCATGGGCTGCCCAGGTGCTGACAGGCGAGGGAAGAAGCCTGTGGGTTGACCCCAGCTCAGCCACGACCCGACTGCGACCTCATGAGAGACTCGAGCAGACTGTCCAGCCGAGCTGCTCCCGAATTCCTGACCTACAGAAACCCTGAGAGACAATACTGTTTGTTTTAAGCTGCTCACTATTGGGGTAATTTGTTGGCAGCCACAGTAACTGGGACACTGGTGAAAGGTGGGGGCGAGGGTGGGTAGACAACAGTGTTCTGGACAGAGAAAGCAGCATATGCAAAGGTCCTGAGGTGAGAAGGAGGTGCTAAAATGGAGGTGCAGAGTTGGCAGGGCCATATCCCAGGCTTTCCAGAACTCTTCTTTGGATCTTACCTACATTTCTTCTGTGGACAGGTAATTCTGTCTCCTCTTCTGGGCAGAGGGCTGCTAGCATAATTATGGAGCCCATGTCTGTTTAACTAAGCCTGTGCTAAGCCTTCCTGTGCAGGGAAGGAGACTACATTTCATTCATTCATTCTTTCCATCAATAAGATTAAAGGCATTGCCTGTCTCAGGAGCTTCCCATTGTCATCCTGGCGCCCCAGAGGAGGTGTTCATGCCCTCTCCAGTGTACGGATGAGGAGACTGAGGCTGAAGGGTGGGTGTCCTTGCCCACTGCCCTGGGGATACCCGGGAGGAGTGGGAGGGGCTCTGGGGTCAGCGTGGCAGCTGAGCCTGCCCACCTTCTCAGCTCTGGGTCAAATAACAGGCTGTGTGACTTTGGGCAAATCACTCTCCTGCTCTTCGGTTTTCTCGTCTGTGAAATGGGGAAGATAGCGACGCTGGCCTTCCCGGGATACCACACGACTCTTGACGCATGCTAATGCCAGCCGCCCTCTCCTCGGGGCTCGTCTGTGCCAGGCTCTGTGATATATATACTCCTGGCCTGTATTAACGCGCTTCTTCTTTGAGAGGTCGGAGGTGGTGTGACTCCATTTACAGCTGAGACAGTTGAGGCCAGGCGGGCAGGCAGGGCTCTGAGCGCACGGGAAGCTCAGGGAACTCCGGTGGCTGATAACCAGCTGCCTTTCCTCTTCCTGCCAAAGCCCCACACACCTGGTACAATGTCCTCAGTCCCCCGGATGAGCCTCTACATCGCCGCCGCCCCAAGCAGCCTGCCTGGTTCAAAATTCCATCAGCATTTGGGAAAACAAAGGGAAAAAAAAACAATACCAAGCACTGGCCTGGCCCCCATGCTGGGAAAATGAGCAGAGAAAGCCGGAAGGCAGCCCACCCAGGAGAGGCCCAACCAACTCCCTGGCGCCTCCTGCCCAGCGACGCGTCACCCAAGAACAAGTCCCTGCCCTCGTGGGGTTTACATTCCAGCGACTTGTGGGAGGGGAGATACACTATAACTATGACGCTGACAACAGCAATAAAAAATCTTTATTTAGTGCTCACCCTGTGCCAGCACTGCTCTGACTCACTTAATTTTCACACCCTGTGATGTGGATGGTATTATTTCCCTCAGTTCACCAAGAGGAAAAGGAGGCACAGACAGGTTAAGTGACTTGCCCAAAGTCACACAGCTGGTAAGTGGTGCAGCCAGGATTTGAACCAGTAAACAAGTAAACTAAAAACTCCTCAGTCTCTATGCTTAGGACTCACGTACATTCCTCATGCAAGAGATGGGGTTTGCCTGGCTTAGAGGTCGGGATGTGGAGGCCCAGAGAGGCGAAGCCGCCTGCCCGGGGTCTCACGGCCAGCAGTTGGGAGCGGGATTTAGACCAGCCACCTCTGACTCCAGGGCTGGCCGAGAGACCGCTGCACCCCCGAGCTCTTCTCCCCGCATTCCACCTCCCTGCTCCAGCCACAGGCGGCCCCAGAACAGTCTGCCCCAGGACAGTACAACCTCTCATTACTGTCACAGCAACTGAGCCAGGGCCACCCCAGAGTCCAACGTCCCCCCAGGCCCCGAGGGAGAAGGGAGGACGGGAGGGCAGGAGCCAGCTCCCAGCTGCGCGCCCACTTCCCTGGCCTCTCGAGGATTTTCTGTGCCTCTAGAGACAGACCGAACTGGCTGCCTCCTCCCCAGCCTCACCCCTCTGCCCCCTCCCTTCGCTCTCCGGGGGGTCACTTTGCTTGTGTTCCAAGTGCTAACATGGAACCGGAGGGGGGAAGGGGGAGGGGGAGAGGAGGGGGTGGCGTGGGGGGCTGAAACTTGAGATCCCCGCCTCGGTTGGGGGAGGCTGGAGAGAGAGACAGACAGAGAGACAGAGACAGGAAGAGAGGCTTCAGTTGCTTTTGGTTTTCCGGGGCGGACAGCGCTGGGGGGTGGGTGTCTGCGTGTGTGTGAGTGTGTGCGCCCGTGTCTGTGTGTGTTGTTTTCTGTCTTGGCCTCTCGCAGGGAGGCCGGGCCCCCACTGGATAATCAAAGGACCCAGAGGCGGCCGGTGCATGGAGGGCAGGACAGGGCAAGAGTGAAGAGGAAGGAAGGGAAGGGGGAAAATAGAGGTGCGGGGGTGTCTGGGGGCGGGAGCAGGAGGCGGTGGGAGGAAGCGAGCAGCTGTGGTATTTGGAGCAAGTATAAATAGCCGCCTGGACGAGCTCGGCCAAACAGTGGTTTGCAGCTGCAGCCCTGCGGGCAGGCGGTCCACTGTCGGCCACACGGGTTCGTCCTGGGCACGGAGTTGGGCAGTGGGCAGGCAAAGCCCCTGGGGGCTCTGACCGGACACCCCTCGCCATCGCCACATCTCCTGATGCTCTCCCGGCCAGCCATGTTGCTGGGCGGCCTCCTCCTCACGGTGGCCACCATGACTGCAGCCCAGCGGAGGGGGCAGGAGGCGGGCGGGCGCCGCCGGGCGCACCGAGTCCAGCACGGCCAGTGCAGCTACACCTTCGTGCTGCCCGAGCCTGAGCCCTGCCCGCCGGAGCCTGAGGCCTTCGGGGGCTCCAACAGCCTCCAGAGGGACTCGCCGGCCGCTGCACTGAGCCTGGGGGACTGGCCGGCCCAGCGGGTGCGACAGCTGGAGAAGGTGCTGGAGAACAACACACAGTGGCTGCAGAAGGTAAGGGCTTGGCCTGCAGAGGGGGTGCTGGGGGGCTCTGGGGTCTGTCTCGATGGGCAGGGGGCGTGTCCGCCCCAGAGGCCTTCCCTGGGCACAGAGGGCCAGGCTGATGGGACCCTTGTCTCTGAATTGTACAGATTGGGATAATGAGGACCAGAGAGGGCAGGGATGAGCCTGAGGCCACACAGCAAGACTGGGCAGGGTCAGACTGGAAACCTGGCTCCCCAACAGCCATTCATTCATTCATCCGATAGAAATTCACTGAGCACTGACCACAGGCCTGGCCCATCCTAGATGCTGGAGGATACACAGTAAACAGAACAGTACATGCCCTTCTGGACTAGTGGGGGAAAGAGGCGAGAAAGAGATGAACGATGAATACCCGCTGCGTCAGATGGTGAAGCAAAATGAAGGAGGGTAGAGGGCAAGGAGTGACCGGGGTGGCTATTTGAGGTCAGGTAATTTGAGAGGACTTCTCGGAGGAGGTGGCATTTGAATTCAGAGAACAAGTGAAGTGATGGAGCCGCCCGTGCAGGTATCTGGGGGAGACATTCCCGGCAATGGACAGCAAGAGCAAAGGCTGTGAGGCGGGACGCAGTTGGGCGCCTGGGGGACAGCAGGGCAGCCGAGGGGCTGGGACAGAGAAAGAGGGGGAGGAAGGGGTGAGGGATGAGAGCCCAGGGAGGGGAGGGCACATGTCAGGCCTTGGGGCCACTGGAAGGACGTTGGATCTTGCTCTGAGCATCTCGGGAGCCACTGCAGGGTTTTGAGCCGGGAGAGACACACCTGATTTGATTTTAACAGAACAGGCTGTAGGGGGCAGGACGGGTGCTGGGAGCCCAAGAGGAAGGCCACTGCAGCCACAGGCAAGAGATGATGGAGGCCTGGAGCGGGATGGGCCAGGGAGGGGGGTGGCCGGTCAGGTTCTGGAGTATTCTGAAGGGGGAGCTAACAGGCCATGCTGATGAATTGGATATGGGGTGGCAGAGGTCAAGGAGTTGAGAACTCCACCACCATTTTGGCCCAAGGCCGCTCTAGGATCTTCTGTCTCACTCTTAGCAAACACTCTGAGCACCCACTGTGTTCCCAGCTGGGGCGAGGCACTGAGGTGCAGAGGTGAAGGAGGCGGGCTTAGCCAAGGGTGGGCATGGGGGCAGAAAAGGCATCCTGCGGGGTCCAAGAAGGGGCTGGCCGCAGCCCCTAAGTAGCAGCTGCTGAGAGAGAGAAAGGGCCCCAGGCCCTTGGCACAGCAGCAGCCTGAGCGGTGGCTGGTGGGGAGGGGAGTGGACCAGCTCCCGGAGCTTCGAATGTGTTAACCAGCAGACAGCGAGTTGTAGACTGTAAGGAGAGAGCAGAGGAGGAAGAGGCAGCCCACAGTGCCTCTCCAAGGAGCAGTCCCTTCTTACCCCACGGGTTCCAAATTATTCACATCATGTGCCCAATCAGCAAACAACGTTTGCTCCCCTGATGCCTGCAGATTTGTTTAATATTCATGCACATGGACCCATGTTCATATAACACGTACAGGGTACAACACATATGAAGATAGAACTTAAAAAAGATGACAAGAAATCATGTGAATTGAAGGTCTGGTAGTTTCCTCCTGTTTTCCTAAGGATGGCCCTGTGCACACCCTGAGACGATCTGTTCCCAAGATGCAGAGGCGTAACGTATCTAACCAACCTGTGTCATGCACACTCGCATACACACTCGTGTGCGTGCACACTTAACTTCTTATCTCATTCCTGCCCTGACCACTGTCTCCTCAGCCCCTCACTCACCATCTTGCCCACTCGCCCTTCTACCCAGCTGCCCTGCAGCACATCCAGCCTGTCACCATCCCACCCCAGATCCCCCTCGAGGGAGCTCTTGGCCTCACACACTGGAGCTCTCAAATCTGTGTGTATCTCTTCAGGCAGCTGTTTCCAGTCCCATAAGGGTCGTTCCAAATCTTTCCTCCTCCTCAAGCCTCTATCTTCACCCCGCTCATCCTCTCACCAGACCACAGGCCTCCTACTTCAACAAGAAATGGGGCCGAGGGGAGAGACGCCTCTCAGTTGCTGCCCCACACTGCAGGTTCACCAGTGCACCTGCCAGTCCCCAGAGCCTTTCTCTGGCCCAGAGGAAAGGGGTTCCTCCATGGGCCAAGGCCACTCTTCCCTCCTAGGCTGCGGGTCCCTCCCCTGCAGCCCCGCAACGCCTCAAACCAACCATCCTCTCCTGTGTGCCTGACAACTCCTCCCTCTCTGCTGGTCCTTCGCCTCAGGGTTTACTCACATCCCAGTATCTCCCCTGTTAGAAAAGGAAGAGGGAGAGGAGGGGAAGAAGCCTCTTCTCCACCCACAGCCGCTTGGACTTCTGGCCTGGCTCTCAGGAGTACACACACTCTGCTTCCGCCTCCTCACTTCCCACCGCCTCCTTCCCCGAAGGTCACCTCCCCGTCCACTTCCCGCTTCCCATGGCCATGGCCCGGTCTTCATCTGACTTGACCTCTTGGCACATTTGACATTGCTGACCAACACTATCCTTCCAGAAACTGTCTCCATCAGCAAGTCCTCATCTACAAAACATAACTACTGGGACCACTTTCCCAACCTCCACAGCCCCACCCTGGACCTGCCACCTCCGTCTCCTACCTCGACGGTCATCACGGCCACCGCCCTGTTTCCACCCAGGCCTGTTCTTCACTCAGTAGACAGAAAGATCACATTAAAACCTAAGTTAGATCCTGTCCCTCCTCTGCTCAAAACCTTCCCGGGGCTCCCATCTCTTCAGAAGAAGAGCAAAAATCCTTACTGGCTGGAATACACCCCCCTAGACACCCACGTGGCTCACCTCTGGCCTCCCTCAGGTCTCTGCCTAAGTGTCACCTCCTCAGAAAGGCCCTCCCTGTCCACCCCATTTAAAATAGCCACCTCCTGTCACTCTCTGTCCCTCCCTTCACCTGGCTTTGGTTTTCTCTCTTAGCACTTATCCCACCTACTCTTAAAAGCATTTCTTTTGGTCTGAGAGCTCCAAGGGGGCAGGGACCACATCTGTGTTGTTCCCTACTGGGTTCCCAGGGTGTAGGACAGTGCCTGGTATGCAGTAGTGCTCGATACGTGGCTGTCGAATGCGTGGATGCATGGATGCATGGATATGTAGGCGCATGGACGCATGGGTGCGTGGGTGCATGGATGCGTGAATATGGGGGTGCATGGATGCGTAGATGCGTGGGTGCGTGGATCATGGATGCACGGATGCATGGACGTTCCTCCAATCTCCCAGGTCACTCCCACTCCTCCTCCTCTCCTGCAATGTTCGTGTTTCCCAGGACGTAGTCTTGAGGCTTCGTTTCCTCCCACGCTTCATGGTACTGCCCCCAGGGCTGTCCCCAACACTCCTGCAGCACCTCTCCAGCCTGCTCCATGATGACATCAGATTGGCATCTTATGGACTCCTGAGCCCCAAATCCATGACCCTGACCACACCCCCATGCCGCCAGGCATCTCCCCTCTGAGGGCCCATGGTGTCTCAACTCCAAAGCTGCCTGAAACTCAGCTCTTCCCTCCCCTGCCCACCTCTCTCTGTTTGAGGTATTACCACCCAGCCAACAGGCCTCCTGCGGCCAAAGCCAGGTGAATGCTCCTGGGGTGGCATTCACCCCACCTCACCCCCGGGTAGCAGGTCCCGTCCATCCTGTCACCTCAGCTTCTCTCACTGGCCTCCATCCTCCTGTCTCCCTGGCTGCTGCCCTGGCTCAGGCCTCATCACCTCCCACCTGGCTCCTCTACCCTAAGTCTCACCCTCTCAACCATCTGCGACTCCCCTGGGTGCCTGGTGCTCGGGCAACACTGGCTGACCCAAGGGATGGATTTAAAGCGGTGGCTTTTGAGTCAGAAGGCCACCCAGCTCACGTCTTCAGCCAGCAGTGGAATGTCCTCTCCAGGTGTTTGTCCACCTAGCCTGACAGTCCTGGGCAGCGGTCACCATAGAGCGCCATGGGGCTAAAGAGCACTGCTGTGGGAGTCAGGCAGACCCGAGTTCACATCCCAGCCCTGGGCTTACTTGCCACTTGGCTGTGGATGAGCGAGTCTCGGTTTCCCCATCTGCAAAATGGAGAAAATGACAGGATGTCAGGGGGTGGCTGGGGAGACCCACGAGGATGCTCACATGCCGCTCTCAGCCGCCGCCTGGCTGCAGGGCGGGCTTCGGGATGACGTCAGGTTGCCCATGTGGGCAAGGATGCAGTAGATTGATGGGCTTTTATTGAATTCAACATCATCTCTATTTCGAGCCCTGCACCCCTGGGTGGGGAAGCTCGGTCTTGATCAAGACAGTCCCAGGGTGGCAGGTAACCTCGGGGCTGGGAGTGTCACTGTCCCAGATGGTGTTCTCGAGGGGTCCCCAGTCCTGCTTGGTTGCTGGTGGGGTCCAAGCTGGTGTTCGTTGTGACTTCTCCTGGGTAAGGGGCCCTTGGGGTTAAGCGCTCCCTTCATGCCCCTTGGTGCTCAGGTCACTGCCAGGTCACCCGGTGCCCGTGGAGCCTGCCATGAGATCAGACCCATCGGCCTAACCACACCTGGCGGGCACTTTCCCTGGGTCCTGTCCTCCTTGGGGAGCAGCATAGCCTGGAAGGTGAGAGCCCCAACTCTGAAACCCAGCTGTTGAGATTAAAGAATCGTCCTGCCCCTTCTTAGCTGTGTGACCTGGGGCAAATTGCTTCACCTCTCTGAGCGTCAGTCTCCTCGCCTATAAGACGGGATGACAACACTACTCACTTCTGTGAGGATTTAACAAGATGATGTGCATGAAGTCTTTAGCCTGGTGCCAGACATATAGTAAATTCTCTATAAATGCTGGCTGTTTCCATTAGAGGCTCTCCTAGAAATAGAAACACAAGTCCTGCAATCCTTGGGTCCTTCCTCCCCCAGCTGAGACATGTGGCCCCTGGCTCAGGGATACACAGCATGTGAACAGTCATCCCTCCGACTCCCCCGGGCCCCTGTCATGGATGCCTG